GGGGGGGGGGTTAGGAGGGTTCAAAAATTTGGGTAACATACTTAATACCAAAAGTTTGGTGCAAATAACAACCAACAGCCAAGGTATAAAGGGCAGTTAGTGCCACAACAATAGGTATAAATAAGCAATATAATATGAGAACTACTCGATATCAGACACTACTTTTAGTATATCATATGGCCAGAAAGTCCCATAGAAAGGTGTAATTTTCATCATAAATTTGAGCCTCAACACAAACTAAACTCAACTTGACTATCTTTTTTTTTTTTTTGAGAAAAAGGTAAAGAAATATATTAGACAAAAGTAGAAACAAATCTGCACAAGTCTTTTCCATTGTAGTTTTCCTCACAAATTCTAGCCTTTTCCTAGCAAAAAGATTGAATCTTAGGTGGTCCATTGAAAGAAAGAAAGATAAGAGAAGTTGGCCTAACTAGTGAGCAATTTAGTAAAACAAATGAGAAAGGTGATGAACAAGAACATAAAAGATGTAAGAAACCTAGAAAAGAAATAAACTTATCCTAAAACATATCAATAACATTGTAGGTTCATCCTTTTGGAGAGAAACATTTAAAGTAAGATAGAGTCAATTATGGCTAACCATACTTGGGAATTGGTAGACCTACCTCCAAGGACAAATTATTGGTTGTAAGTGAGTGTTTAGGAAAAAAACTAAAACCCAATGGAACCATACACAAATTCAAGGCAAGGCTGGTAGCAAAGGGGTATAAGCAAAAAGAGGGTGTAGGTTGACACCTACCCTCCAGTAACAAAAATAACAACTATTAGGGTCCTAATTGTCATAACATTTATATACAAATTAATTATACATTAAATGGATTCAAAAACTGTTTTCCTTAATGAGGGTTTACAAGAAGAAATTTATATGGATTAGCCTGAAGAATTTAGAGCTCAAGAAGAAAAACATAAAGTCTACAAACTAGTTAAATCATTATATGGACTTAAACAAGCTCTTAAATAGTGGAATGAAAAATTCAACAATGTTCTTTTTTTTATAATAAATTCAATAGTGTTCTAAGAAAAAAATGGGTTTGCAGTAAATGATGCAGATAGTTGCATATATAGCAAATTCAATGAAAAATTAGAAGTAATAATATGCTTGTATGTAGATGACATGTTAATTTTGGGTATGGATTTAGATGTGATTAAAAATACAAAGAAAATTTTCTTATCTAACTTTTGATATGAAAGATATGGGAGAAGCAGATGTAACCCTAGGAATAGAATTAAATAAAACTCCTAATGGTTTGACATTGACACAATCTCATTATATTGAAAGAATGTTAGAAAAAATTACCACTCTGATTGTGTGTACCTGTAAGAACACGTTAGGATTCTAGTGTTAAATTAAAGAATAATAATGGTGATGTTGTTTCTCAACATGAGTATGCAAGAATCATAGGTAGTTAATATTTTTAATGAACTATACACGTTCGGATATTGTGTTTGTTGTTGGCAAATTAGGTAGATATACTCATAATCCCAGAGGTAGGTTTACCAAATTAATGACTTTGGACCAATGTTTTAAAAAACGACTCGGAATCGGAAACATTCTGGCCACCGGTTTTTGGGTCAACAGTTCAACCATCCAATCCGAGTGGATGGAACGGGTCAACGGCTCGATCATCCGAGTCAACGGGTCATTAACTGATTCAACGGTTTTTAATTGGTCAGGGATTGGGTTTGGGGTAAAACGGAATCGGTTGCCTAGAAAGTTTCCAGGTCAAATGGTCCGACCATTCGGGTCAATGGTGGTTCGAAAACCATGCTTTGGACTGCACTTTAATAGATATCCAATTGTGCTAGAAGGTTATTGTAATGCAAATTGGATCTCAAATTCAAATGAGACCAAATCCACTAGTGGATATGTATTTACCTTAGGTGGTGGAGCCATTTCATGGAAGTCCATCAAAGAGACATGTATTGCTATGTCAATAATGGAATCTAAGTTCATTGCCTTAGAACAAGCTGGTATGGAGGTCTAAGGACTTTGTAATTTATTGGCTGATTTACCTTTATGGAAAGAGTCGACATATTCAACTAAGACACAATACAATAAAAGGGTTAATAGGTGATGGTGTGCTCACACTTGAATTTGTGAGGTTAGAAAAAAATTTAGCAAATCATCTGACTAAGGGACTGACTAGAAAGTTAGTCTTAGATACATTGAGGGGGATGGGTTTAAATCCCATAAATTAAATAAGCAGTGGTGACAACCTAACCTCTATGATTGGAGATCCATGAGGAGGTTCAATTGGAAATAACAAGTCATTATAAATTTGGTAGAGTACTATCACATATTATGTTTTGAGAGTGCCCCTTTATGGTTTAGATAGTACTTACTGAAATGTAAAGAGGTTAAATAAATTACTCTTAATGAATTGGTAGCCCTTATGGGTGGTGTAGATAGTTATAGTATACATTTGATGAATTCACCTATATGAGCGTGGAGGTGGGGCCGCCTCCTATGAGAACAAGAGCTTTATTCTCTAGAGAGTTCATGAAAATCTAAGTATGGGTGCATAGTTGAAACATATCAAACTGTGAGAACCAATTGTTATAGAGGGTGAAACGTTTGTTGTAATAGTGCACCTGGGTTATAGTCAAAGAATTTGGTTCAAGAATTAGTTTTACAAATTTCAGTAACACATGCCTTATCGAAGTGTGCCCAATTCGTGTTGTTGTAATTTGAATCATGTGGGGGATTATTGGTACTCTTTTCTTGATTTTTGTGTGATTCAAATTAAATGCCTTTGTTTTTCCTTTGTTTCTTTTGTATTTTATCTGATGGTGGAGTAGCTTAAGTCCCACATGGACTAGGAAGAGCACTCCTCTTGGGCTTATTTATTACTGTGTTTTTGGTTTGTGTCTTATAGGGCTTGTGGAGAGAGTGCATCTAGACCACCACAGGCATGCACATGTTGGGCTAGACTGGCTGGGCTAACATGAGATCAGCTTCTATCAGGGCAAATATGTGCCCACACTGTTATGATAGCATTTTTCAACTTTGCATTGGGAATATCTCTTCATGAAATTAAACACACAAGTATGGAGATATTCTCAATGCAAGGCAGTAAAGACTGCTTGAATGGGCTTTGCCCTGATTGAAGCTAGCCCACTGCACACGTAGGTTCCTACCTTATTTATTTATTTTCCTTTTTTTAAGATGTTTTAATGTTTTAATTAAGAATACTTTTTCCTAGCATTCTCTTTGTAACCGCCACACTCTCCTAATTGTGAGGGAACTCCTAACGTTAGTGGGAGATGTTTTTGGTTTGGCATTAAGCTTTGTTAATGGTCAAGATAACTGTGATTTTGGTGCACTAGAAATTAGCTTCTCTTTTTCGTGTTTTTACTCTCTCCCCCACACTAGTTTTGCTCTCTCTGTTAAGTCATATTGGGATTATGAAACACACTAGTCCCACTGCTTTGGGCTGTGAGTGCACACAATGCCAAGGTTGAGAGATGTTATATCTAGAGGCCAATTGCAAAAACCTTCTACACCAATGAACATACCAAGGTTTTAAAAATGGAGCCGCTTCGACCACGAGTTCCCTGATCAGTGATTCAACCATATAGGTCAAATGGGTTAAAATGGTTAAAGTTGATACTTATTTATTTATTGTATCCTGACCGTTGGATTAGCATATTAGGTCAGGTTATAATAAGGTTCATATAAATACTTTCTGTTTGAGAGACAAATAAGAAAGGGGGCTAAGAAACGAAAGGGAGGAGAGGGTGGTTGTCGCTAATTCTCCATATTGGTTTAGAATTACATTTTTTTGTTGTTGAAAAAGATGTTATTTCTAGTAATAGAGAAAGACAAGAAACTGAGAGAGAGAGAAGAAAAAGAAAGAAAGGAGTAAAATAGAAAGACAGAAGACACACCACCGTTGTTGGTTCATATTCGTTGAGGAATTAGAGAATGAGCAATTTTTTTCTAACATATTCATTGCTGGTTCTTATTCATTGAGAGAGAAAGATGGAGGACTCATCGTAAGTTGTCGTTGAAAACTGAGAACTGAGGAAAGTATATCTGTTTGAAAAGTGAGAATGAAAGAGGGAAGAGAGATTTTGTCCTTTTTCCCTCTTTTGTTTGATTCCAAAACCCTAACTATATGTGCAAATTCGATTCGGGACTCAAAATATATACCACTGAACTCCCCTACCCAGCAAACATCAGCTCCCAGGAATTCTCTTTTATACTATTCAAAAGCGTGATTTTCACTTGAACTAATGTATGTAACTTTTGAGATTTTGAAAATGCAAAATTCGTTTTTTTTTTTTTTTTTTCTGGAACAAATCAATTGCTAAATGGCCTTACCGATCTAGGATGATAACCAGTTCCATACGGACGGTCTTAGATGTTCTCGTAACCATCTAAATGACCTTACTAAAATATGGTTGGTTCTCATAATACCAAGGCATTATCGAGAGGTCTGTGTTCACATCACTGTTTATAAATTTATATTTAATGGTCTAAACATGGTTAATAAATTATGCATTGTTATAACTTGGGTAGGGGTATCATTAATGACATTAAAAATTTGATTTTGAGTTTAATATTCGACATAATTGAATTGAATTCGAATAATTCAAATATCATAATTGAATGAATTCATTCAATTCAATAAATATTTGAATTCGATTGATTATTTAATTCTTATATAAAATGTTTAAATATTTTATATCATTTATATATAATACTTAATTTATAGGGGGTTTCCCTCAGAAATTGAAATTTTGATCGGGGACGTACGAAAATTGAAACCCATGCCAGCCCCAACCTACAAATTCGAAATTTGTTTTGGTGGCTCCTCCCCTCACCCCACGTCAGCGAAAGTTTAAGTATTATACCCGTTATATCCCTCAATGAAACGTTAATCATCTTCCCCATTTCGAATTTACAACATCTTCCTCATTTCAAAAAATTTTAGAGCTCTTCATCTTTCATCATCGGAGCTTCCCCATTTCGAAATTTCTCAGAGCCATTTTATCACCGAAGCTTCATATTTCATCGCATGAGCTTCCCCATTTCAAAATTTCTCAAACCCGTTTCATCACCAGAGCTTCCTGATTTTGAAATTTCTCAGAGTCGTTTCATCGCCGGAGCTTCATCTTTCTTCATCTCTAGCTGTGTTCCCCCTTTCGAAATTTCTCTGAGCCGTTTCATCACCTGGAGATTCATCTCTACCTGTGTTTTCTGTTATACCCCTCTACGAAACATTGAGCCGTTTTCGCCATTTCGAAATTTATCAGAGTTGTTTCATCACCGGAACTTGATCTCTACCTGTGTTCGTCATTTCATCACCGGAGCTTCATCTCTACCTATGTTCGGTCGATTGGAAACCTCCGTCTTCCCCATTTCGATTTGTTAGAGCTTCTTGCATTCGTCGTCCGGTCGAAGTCGAGTTTCGTCACCGGTCGAAGGAAGGTCGATGTCCCATTTTGACCGGTCTGCTTCATCTTCTATCTCCTTCTTCCCCTGTCTTTGAACATTGGAAGGATTCATAGAGGCCCCTTTGTTCATTGGTAAAAGGTTTTGCAATTTACCAGCCATCGTGCACCCCCCATCCTATTCCAATCATCCTGGGCATGCCAGAGATCAAAAACTCTGCTAGATATTTGGTAGATTATAGTGGGAATTGTTCCTCCAATACCAGTTCCATTGCTCTGAATGCGGTAAGCATCTAGCAGTAATTGAAATATTTAATGTGTTAATGTGGGATTTTTTATTTGCATTTGCCATTACTTGTTGCGTTGTCTCTCTAACTGGAGTCAGATTGCTCATGTGTCTATTCGATTTCACATTATCCAACAGCAAGCAAGGTTGAGAAAAAAATTTGCACCATTTGTTCCTGGGATCACCGGTTGGTCATTTGAATTCATGGAGTCAGCCCCCCAACAAGTTGGGTACATGTTCAACGCTTAGGCGTAGGAGGTACTTGTATGATGGTTATTGAGTCAAAAAGTGATGTATGTTTTGTACAATGATAGAGATTGTGCGGTGTTTGTGATGAAGTACATGGATTAAATTGCTCGGGGCTCAGATTTTGACTTTGATCTAATGAGTACACTAGAATTCTATTTGTTAGCAAATACCTAAATGTCTCATGTTAGTAACTAACATATGGTACCTTTGTTGTAGGGAATTATCAATATTATTAGGTGGCAGATAAGGGCTCAACTCATTCGGAACCATATCCCATGAATTGCACATGTTAAGCGGATGATAGAAAACCTTTTATTTTTGCTTTCTCTCATCTTACCAGTGTGAGAATATATTAACATTGTAAATTATTGTATAGATCCAATGATTGAGTAGCTCTAACTATATAAATTTACAGATGAATGGGTTAAAGTCATACAAAATTTCTTTACTATATTGCCTGGTGAAACATTATCTCCATAGTAGTGTTGTACCATCGTCAGCCCAGGCCATTGGGCCGATGGGCAACCAGAAAGTGTCAGGATGCTCATTGGTCGAGTGGTAGTAGGAGGGAGTGGGTTTGGTGGCCATCGAACCCCTCGGCACCCACCGGAGTGGCCTTTAGGTGATTCTACCATTTTCGAGAAGCAGTTCCGAAGGGAGAAGCAGGGATAGACGGGCGGCGGAAGAAAGCTCTCCTGGACGTCCCTAGAGGAGGCGGAGACGCCCCGGGTTTACAAGGAAGGATGGTAGTGGGAAATGATGCTTTTGCAAAACCACAGTTTCCCACCGTCGGGTCGGGCAGTTAGGCCGATTGGTGACAAGAAGGTGTCAGGATGTTTGGTGGGTGAGTGGCAATAGGAGGGAGTGGGTTTGGTGGCCATCGAACCCCTCTACACCCACCGGAGCGGCCTTCAAATGATTTCGCAATTTCTGAGAAGCGGTCTCGGAGGAGGCGTGGGGGTAGACGGGTAGTGGAACCACCTCCATAGGGTGGGGAGAAGTCTCTTGGGCATCCCTAGATGTGGCAGAGATGCCCTCAGTTTACGGGGAAGGCTGATGGTGGGAAACAGTGGTTTTGCAAAAGCACCATTTCCCACCGTCGGCTTGAGAAGTCGGGCCGATGGGTGACCAGAAGGTGTTGGGATGCTCGATGGGTGAGTGGTAGTAGGAGGGAGTGGGTTTGGTGGCCATTGAACCCCTCTGCACACACCGGAGCAGCCTTTGGGTGATTCTACCATTTCTAACAAGTGGTCCCAAAGGAGGGGGG